GAGTTAATTGTGAAAAATTCCGTTCTTGTTGTCAATAAATATTTTTTAACTCCGGTTATGTCTTTTTTTAATGCATGGTATTTGTGCAGATTAAAAATATAGGCTGTCTCCGCTTTAAATAATTGTAATAAGTTGCTTTATCATTTAAATCACTTTACATAGATCCATTCTAGCACCGAGCTAAATCTTCAAAATATCGTCCAATCGAATGAACAATTTTCTGAAGCGCCTTGTCTCCACGAGACGTTTCACGGGATTTTGCCCGAGATCGAATCGCAGGAATGAAACTTCTGGGCTTTTTTTCCCGTGAAACAACACAAAAAAATTTCCTTTTCTTCTCATTAAGTCGTTCCTGGGACTCAACAATGACCCTAAGCTGGCACTGCAATTAGTATTGACTAACTCAATATTTTTCCCAATTTCGCAAGTGAGATTTGTCCCTGGGACAAATCCCATGAAACTTCCGCCCGTGGAGACAAGGTCTCAGGCTGGTAGGTACATTATAGATTTAGTGCTACAAAGAGAATAGAAGTTCAACGAGGAATTTCTAATTGACACCAATTTTGATACTATCATTACCTTGAAATCCAACTTTTAGTAGCAACCTACTATCTTAAGTGCGTGCGGAAGACTTGGCTCTACATCACAAATTTACCATCATCGCATAGGTATAGATTGGAGATCAAGTAGTTGTCTTATACTGAAGATGAGAGAAAAACCTCTTTAAATATAACCCACAAGAAGTTGAAACATTTAATATTTCATTTTTTCAATAATGACAATACCTGATCTTACCGCCGATGAGTATTTTACAATTTTAAAATCAGTTGACAAAATTGGATAGGTAAAGGTATAATTCAAATACAATTTTAGAAAATTGTTGTTTTGTTATGTTTTGTCAAAATAAATATTTGCACAAGTCAGATAGGGATGAGGAGCTCATGTTCTATGCAGCTCTATCATTGATAGATATGCATAATAGCTTCATCCTTGCCGGGATGAAGTGCTTATTCCATAATGAGCCGTCATAATAACGCTCTCACAAAAGAGCTATATTGGTGGATCCTGACCAGGTTAAAGGAACCTGAGGCTCCTCTGTCCCTTTTATTTCAATAATTATTTTCAGCAGGACGGACATGCGTTTGGCTGTCTTTGCTGTGTATTCTCTTCTAGGTGGAGAGAAATTTGGAATTCCATAATTTATAGGATCTAAAGGAAATTCTCAACATTAATGCCTTTTATTCTATATTATATGTACACTTTATAAAACATCGGGCTGATTGTTGAAATTGATAGACAAAGCTACAGACAAAGAAGAAAAAACAGATATGGAGAGATCCTATTGGTGAAAGCTAGGCCCGGACTCAGGGCGTGTGCAAGGCGTGCGGCGCACACGGGCGCCAGCCTTTGGGGGGCGCCACGAAAGAAGAAGAGAGGGAAAAAAAGGGGGGGGAAAGGAAAAGGATAAAAAGGGAAGAAAGGACAAGGGGAAAGAGGAAAAGAGGTTGGGCAGCGAAAGCAAGGAAGAAGGGGGAAATGGAAGGAAAAAGGAGGCAAGAAAAGTGAAAAGAGAGTCCGCGAGAAAGGGGGGGGGGCATAAAAACCATAGACAAAATATAAAGAGAATTGCCGTCTAAAGGTAAATTTTCAGGACAAAAACTCCACCTGGTCTATAGACGGTCAGGCGCCCCTTGACCCTAAATTTGTGGCTGTACAGAAATACAAGAGTAGGCATGTAGTAAGGGGACGCCATAAATCCATCGAACATGCAGGAGCCGACAAAGCATTTTAGGCCATGTCCGCCATCTTGGATCTGAGAATTTTTATACATAGTAAAAATTCGAGTTTCCGGTCGAAAAATACCCGCAGACACCGAGTTTCCAAAAAAACCATCGAACAGGAGCCGACATAGCATTTTAGGCCACGTCCGCCATCTTGGATTTGGGAATTTTCAAAAATCGACTAAAAATTCGAGTTTCCCGTCAAAAAGTACCCCTGATCCCGCGGTTCATAAAGCTCTAACGAACAGAAACGGAGGCCAGAACCGGGGCTCATTTTAGGCCACATCCAACATTTTGGAGTTGAGAATTTTAAAAAATTGACTAAAAATTCGAGTTTTCCGTTGAAAAATACCGTGCGATACCGCGTTTCACAAGACTCGAACAAACAGAAACTGAGATAGCATTTTAGCCCACGTCCGAATCTTGAATTTGAGAATTTTAAAAAATGGACTAAAAATTCGAGTTTCCCGTCGAAAAACACCTCCTGCCACCGAATTTCAGAAAAATCCATCGAACAGAGGCGGGGATAGCATTTTAAGCCATTTCGGATTTTCGAATTTTGAATTTTTTGAATTTTGACAGACTTCGATTTAAAACGCGTGATCCCCAAAATCGAAGCTCAGATTCGGATTCCTCGTAAAAAATCGATGCAATTTCATGTATCATATCCTGACACCGAATCTCAGGAGAATCCATCGGACAGGAGCCGAGATGGCATTTTAAGCCACTTCAGTTATTTCGGATTTTGGAGGTTGAAAAATTTCACTTAAAACGCGTGATAACCAAAATCGAAGTTCAGATTCGGATTCCTCGTAAAAAATCCATGCGATTTCATGTATCATACCCGAGCATAGCGTGAAGGAAAGAGACGTAACGTAGACATACTGATTCGAGCATATGAATGCAACGTGGCAACATGGGTAGTGCTCAGTGGGTCAGCGGAGGAGGAAGAAGAAGAATTTATCGTGAGAAATTCCTCGGGACGAAACCGAACGCTTAGTAAGCGCCGGCGCCTCCCCGTTCGGTTGCATCTCGGGCGACCGGCGCAGCGCGGCGGCGTAGTTCAAACGGGTAGTATGACAGAATCCATACGCGTCGTTAAACCTTTTTCCTTCACGCTATTTTAACAAATGATACATGAAATCTCATCAATTTTTCACGAGGAATCCGAATCTGAGCTTGGATTTTGGATATTACGCGTTTTAATCTATTTAAAATCGTAAGGGAATTTACAGAATTGTCCTTGAAAATTGATCACACGTTAGTGCTTTTTTACGTCATTAAACCTCTTTCCTTCACGCTATTCTAATATATGATGCATAAAATCTCATCAATTTTTCACGAGGAATCCGAATCTGAGCTGAGATATTGGATATTACGCGTTTTAATCTATTTAAAATCGTAGGAGAAATTACAGAATTTTCCTTGAAAATTGATCACACATTAGTGATTTTTTACCCCGTTTTTCTTCTACGTTCACGTAATGAAATTAGATCAACAGTTGACTCATCGACTAGTGTGGCCTAACCCGCCAGAATCGGTCTAAAGGGCGAACGATTGTATCAGATAAGATGTGCGGTCCTAGTTTCCGGGCAATTACGGTTTGACGGAAGCTGCGATGAGGAGAAACGGAAGATATGCGAAACTCGGGTGGATATTAAGTGAGAAACCAGGTAGGGGAAAGGCTTTCTTCCCGAAAAGTTAGTGCTCGGGCCAACTTACATGGTCACTGGAGCATTGTATAGCAGGTTGTGGGAAACTATTTTTTTTGCATCAACAACCAATTGGATCGCATTTTGCAAAAAGGAACTAAGAGCATTTCAATGTTGCTGGGATTGTGCAACTTAGGTACATTCTTTGCAAAAAGTAAACTTTGCGACGGTAATTTTCGTCTTGAATTCATATTTTATTGGGAGTAGAGGTGAAACTAGTTTAGATGATCGTTTATGTTTGCAAGGTTAGCGACATTGGAATGCTCTTGATGAAAGCAGGTGCTTGCAATGGACGAAGGAGGTAGGTAATATAGTCCTGACGGCAACCTACGAGAGACCCTAGAGTTAGTCCATAATTGAATCGGTCATTTACAAAAGGGCTCAAGCGCCACTTTGTTTTTTATTCTTACTCGGCTCAAATCACACGAAAAGTTTTGAAACAATTATATTCAAACCTCAACTTTAATGCCTTCTTTACACATGTGAATTTTTCTGAACTCAAAGATTCATAACGGGTCTGATTATAAGTTTTTTACTGTTTTACTCGAATTCTCATTTTTGGCGCTTGAGCCTTTTTCTGCCGCCGTATGAACCTTCAGGCGTTGCCAAATTTCCTGTGAAAAACACGAATTTCCTGTTTGAAATTTATGAATATTTCCCTTTCAATTTTTCAGATAATTTAGTTCTCGATTTTACCTAAAGATTCAGAAAATTTCAAGGAAAAATATTCATACCTCTCCTCAAAAATGAACATTTTATCGAAGGAAATTTGGCAACTCTCGAATGTTCATACGACGTTCTTCCTTAGCAGTTTTGCAACTGACCGATTCATTTTACCCCCTTAAGTATAGTCTACAAGAACAACTTATTTTAACCAATAGGATCGCTCCATACTCCCAGTGTCTTCTTCGTCTATATTTTTGTCTATCAATTTCAACAATCTGCCCGCAGGTCGAGTTTTCCTCTACAAAACGATACGAGTTTCAGAGCCTTTAGTATCGAAACTTGCAAAATCAGTTGAAGCAATTTCGGAACCCTTTGACCTTTGCGGCGCCAGTATTGGTAACTTATACCTTTGATTCGAACGGGACCAATAAGTTCTGTTCTAACACCAGTTTCTGATAAGTTAAATGAAAGTTTACTTTTCATGAAAGTATCAGAAATAATGTGTGGTCTTCGTATTGGTTCTTTCATGTACCGCGTTAAACAGAGAGGAGCCAAGTTACATCAGCTATTGCCAAATTTAATTGAGCATTTTAATGTTTTATACAAAAACTGTTGTGCGGATTTTCGTGCAAATTTCAGTGAATTTTCTTACAATGTGAGGCAAATTCCCTAAAATGTTCAAAGGGATCCGCACAAACGTCCTCTCGTAAAAAATTAAATTGCCAAGTTATGGTAATAGCTGATATGGCGTGCCTCCTTTTTGCTAAACGCGGTCCAAATGGCAAAGAAAAGTTGCGTCGGAAGTGGTGATTCCTCTTGGAGGTGAAACAACCTTCATCGATTTGGAAACTCAGATTTGGTATTTGGTATACTACAGTTAATAATTACACTTATTTACAGAATATATCTAAATTTCACTCGCTCAGCTTCCATACTGGGAACTGCTCGAGAACTTGTATCAGATGTTTTCGCTCCCTCCGGCGTCGTGCCCATAAAAAACAGGATCTGAAAATATAAAAGAGGTAAATTAAAGAAATTTCAACAGTTATAGATGAATATTTGTTAAATTCCCTGCCATAAGTTTCTCGTCCAGGCACTATGTAGACGGACTTAAAAAGTAGTCCTTCATCCCTCATTTTCCCCATAACTTCTCATTTGATTAGATACTCACCTGCTAATTAAATTTTTTACTTTAATACCTAGTTTTTAATATTTTTTCTGCACTAGAAAAAAAACACATTGGATCTAGAGTCCAGACTCTTGTAAACATCGACAAGAAAAAATACTCTTGATTCAATCGGATTTTTGCTTGAAACAAAACGAAATCCGCTCAAATTAAGAGGCTTGGTTCTTGATTTAAGGTAGATTCTGATTGAATCAAGAGTATTTTCTCTTATCGATGTTTTTAAGAGTCTGGACTCTAGATCCAATGTGTTTTTTTTTCCCCCAGTGTGTTGTTCGTCATTCAGAATTTAGTCTTTCCGATTCGAAACTACTATCATGCTGTCAAATATTGCACGTTCTGTGGGAGCTGTATGACTCGAATGAAAGTGTCTCAACTAGCGCGCTGCTACGTACTGGTTCGCTGGTGCATTCCGCCCCTTCATTCCGTAGCTGGGCCTAAGGCGTTACAAGAATGAATGCATGCATGTGTCGAACGTGAGGCGCTATGAGATAACGATCACTTAGCTGGAGCTCATTTCGTCGCTTCTCTGACGTAAGGACGGATCTTGATTTCCCCGTAAGCCCTGATTCACATATAAATCCATGATTTCTAGAGCTCATGCGGAAATCGAGTGCGTCAGAGGAGCGACGATTTGAGCTGAGCCATATTTTCATGGAGCTCATTATATCAGGCAGGGTGTCCCAGGATTAAGTACGAATATTGAAGGAGTCGATTCTTCGGGTTCAAAAATAATGTTTTTGTGGTCTAAATTCTTTCCAAAAACGCTTTTCCTGGGGGCCACGAACCCTTCAAAGTTGGAGAAAAAAAATCGTCTTTTTAATACTGTGACAATGTTCATCAACCTTTATTAATGAAAATTGGTAACAGGGTGTAATTTTTAGCGTTCTTTTCATTTTTGACCTCCATATAAGGGAAAACTCATTTTGAGGGGGAGTTTAGGGAGTATCGAACCTAAAAGTGGCCAAAATTAGTGTTTCCAGCAACAAAAATTTATTTTTGACGGCACCACTAGATTCACAGTTGAAAAATATTGAGAAATTATAATTAAGGATTGCGTTTTTTCGCAATGACTCATTGTTTCCGAGATAATAGGGACTAATAGGGGATAGTAGGGGGATAATGGTCCCTCCGCAAAGAAAGCGTTTTTGGAAAAAAAGTTATACCACAAAAACGTCTTTTTTTACCAAAAAAATCGACTCTTTAAATATTCGTACTTAATTCTGAGACACCCTGTATGCACGAGAGAGGAGTAAGAGAACAAACAAAAACTAAACCTATTGATGTGTGCGACTTACCTAAAGAATTGAGCCCATAATGGGTTTGATACACTGACGATCCATTGGAAGCCATCGAGTTGGCTAACGTTGAACTTAGCGTTGGGCTTTGATGCGACAACTGACTAAAACCACCCATCGAAACTCCACCTTGACTTAGCTGGCTTAAACCTAAGGAACAAAGAAGAAACCGCATTAATTTAGTAACAATTAATAAACTCCACCTACAGATTTGTTACTTCTCTTCGCTCCGCTAATAAAAAGTTGGGGGGGGGGTTCACTAACAAGTTTTGAAAATTCATCTAGAAACAAGAGGTTTGAAAAATTATAATTAGAGTTAAAAATAATTGTTTTTAAACTCTAATGAGCACCAGACTGCAGTCAGTGCGCTGAAATTCAAAACGCCTTCAATTTTTTGAACGCAATATGGACATCCGTCGAGGTTGTATAGTTGTATCAAGGCGCCGTTGACGGCGCGTCCTAGTCTTCTTGTTACGGACGAATAAAATCGGTGAGAAAAGAGCCGAAATGCCTTCAGTTTTCTACGTTCCGATGACCAAATTGAGAGACCACGTATCTCCGTTTGCGACGTTGCAGATTACTTGTCAAAATCTATTTTTTCTTCGGATAACTAGTCAACGTAAAATGTTTCTCCGTGATTTTTCATCTCTGTTAGCAGAGTATCTGGCATACAAATTAAGTTGTAACGTTCGATTGCTTCCCATCGAAATAATAAAATAGGAGCGGAAATTTTGAAACACCGCAATGCAGATACGTGATACCGTACTCTGACCATCGATATGTGATACGAACATCCGTAAAGCTTGAATAGGCATGAAGGCGATATCTTGTCACCAACGCGTCCGTTAATCAAGCGCGGCAGTCCACCAGATACTCAGATACATGTGTACTGAAGTTTTGCAATGCAAACTGCCTGAGCTGAACACTCTCCCTCTTAAGTTTTGTACTGGTACTAATTAGAATTTAAAAAAAGATATTTTTGACTGTAATCATAATCTTTAGAACATCTGGTCTTTGTTATCCCCGCGAAATAGTGTGGACCCACCACTATTTCTCCACCTTGTTACATACAGTTTGGGCCACCTTTTTTTTTCTTTTTTCTTTTTTTTTTCATCCAAGAACTTGATGTTATCTTACAATTGGACAGTTCAAGAAAGTGATGAATTCGCTTTGGACACTTCCTTTCAAGAAAACAGTTAAATTTTGGACATTGCCAAGGTACCAAAGGAGGGTCTCTGCACGGAGGAAAAAACCTCGTGCGTGGGACCCGAAGTTTAGGTTATATGGATCTCTGAAGTTTTCAGATTGAGCATCTGAACACTTTAGGTCTAGCTGTCGAGGTTCGGATTACTCATCTGAAACTTCAGTTTTTACATCTGAAGTACTTTAGATGTAAGAACCGAAGTTTTTCGGATGTGAGAACCGAAGATTTTCGGTTGTAAAAACCGAAGTACTTCAGATGTAAGGACTGAAGTTTCAGATGTGTGATTCAAACCTCAGCAGCTGGACCTTAAGTGTTTGGATGCTCAATCTGAAAACTTCAGAGATCCATATGATCTAAACTTCGGGTCCCACGCACGAAGTTTTTTTCTCCCTGTATGTTTCTGGCTAAATCCGTTGTCTTTTTCTCACTCCTACTAGTGTTTCTGGCTGGAGAGAGAAAGGAGTGGGCGTGTGAGAGTGTGGGTATGAGATCTTACCGGTAACGCCCCAGCGCGGCTCGGAAGAACTAAACATGGAAGAGGAGCAGATACCGTCGGACATGGCGCCAAACGGCGGGAGACCATGCGACGGAAGTAGAGCACCCGGAGTCCGGAACACGTTCGTCGTCTTCTTTCGCTTCTTCCATTTGGCCCGCCGATTCTGGAACCACACCTGTAACACAATATCCCCAGTGTTATCTAGGGGCACAGGGACAAAAGTCGGAACAAAATGTGATATGTACCTACAGTTTTTTCATCGTACAGTTTTATAATGTAATATCAAAAACATGGGAGGAAAAACGGGAAACAGTGCTAAAAATTAAACATAACAAACCCGAGACCTTTCGGCCCATAACTGAACCATTTTCAGTCGGAAGAATAAAAATAAAATATAAAAATTGGTTTCTATTTGGAATTTTTATGTTTTATTTTTATTCTTCCGACTGAAAATGGTTCAGTAACGAGCCGAAACGTCTCCGGTTTGTTATGTGTAATTTTTAGCCTTGTTTCTCCTATGTATTTTGATATCACCGTTGTTACGGGCTGCCGTTTTAGAAATTTTAACCTATTTATAATATAAGCAAGTGGAGCAACCCAGTGAAGTATTTGCTTCAATTAATTAATGGGAAAATAGGAAAATTTCATGGGATGCAAAATCATGATGGATCACTATATTTTTCGAAAGTCGATAGTTGCGTTGATAAAAACAATGAAACTTGCGGCTTGTTAGTTTTTTATGGTGCGTAAATGCGTAATCCGCGTCAAAAAAGCACGATGCTGCGCAAGTGACTTATAAGAATGAGAATAATAAAATTAAAAACAAAAATTTGGAGTGTACTAAAATAATTCCCTAAAGTGATAATCCAACTGTATATGTGCACAACTTCACGTAAGACGCTTGGAAAAATTGATTTTCATGCCAAGCCAGTGCGCCTTCAATTCTTGATCTATGCAACATAGACACCTGCCAAGTAGTAATAGTTGTGGGTATTCAGGCGCTGTATACGGCCGTCACGTCTGTAAGCACTAACTTTCCTTTAGTGGGCGCTTGCGGGCTTGAGCGCCCTAAAAATTGAAGTTTTTTTTCTTTTTCTTCAACGTAGCATTGAATACGGACAATTTTTGCTAAAGTAGAGTAAAGTTCAAAAGCATAACTTTGAAAACAGATCCCTGCTAAATATTACAATGATTAGTTGAAAACACGGAAGAAGATATTCCATGATTTTGACAACCCTATAGCATTTACCAAATCAGCATTATTTTACCTTTGATACTTTTTCCGTAGTAAATCTTTGTAATTCCCTAGAGAATCTAGGTACAAAGTTACACAAACCAGTTAGCTTCATTTTATGTCTTTATAATTAAGGGGCTTGGAGGACAAGGCTCATAAGTGCAGTTCTTGAAAAAAATGAGATATTAATAACGTCAAATAAAACTAGTCTCGGTACATCTTCTGTTTTCAGATTTGTAAGCATCGAAAAGTCAAATTAAACTTTCTTTCCGCCATGAGGATGCATCTAATTTCGAAGCTTCAAACACTTATTTGTCGAAATAGGAATAATTGCACTTGTGCGGCTCCTCCCCCAAGCCCCGCAAGTGTCCTATTGATGATGTTACGTTAAATTTCATCTTAAACCTTCCCAAACCACAGCGTTAATCTTAATAGGCACTTTTGAGGGAACGAGCTATCTAAGAGTAGCGACCTAGGACGGCAAACTCATAAAAACGATCGCTATAATCAAGGTTGGACCCAAGAGGAAACTGACACTAAAAGAAGTCTAAAGACTCCTTGTTGCGGCATTTACTGAATCCGCTTCGGTGCGGATAAAGAACACAGAAGGCGTCCGTAGCGCCCAAATTCCTGTTTTGAGCACTGTTGTGAGCGGCTGAGCTACGATGCCACAGGCCACGGATGACACGAATCTACTATAAGCAACCAATTTTGCATCAACCGCCTGAATACAACTATTGCTACTTGACGGGTGTCTGTGCTGCATACACTAAAAATTAAAGGCGCGCCGAGTGTACTTGGGAAAACCAACATTTTCTCTTTTTGACGAGAACTTCTCACATGGGAACAAATAAGTTGAGGCAACTTTGTGTCGCCTACCTGAATACAACTATTGCTACACGACGGATGTCGATCTTGCATATACTAAAAATTGAAGGTGCACTGGTTCTACTTGAAAATCAACGTTTCCTCTCGGCTCGGAGGGAACATGCTTCCAAATGGCGCTTGTGATACTTTGGCCGGAAGGTGAAGAAATGTGCAAGTGCATAGTTACTAGTATTATGTTTGGGGACTCATACAGTCCATTATGAATCTCTGGGTGCAATGATTTGAAACATATCTATTGCCACTTGTGTCAGAAGTGTGGCAGCATGGTTCCGAAGCACAAATGAACGTCTTTAAATCAAAAGGAACTATATCCATTCTGATATGAGCTCTGAGTCCCATAAGAATATATCGATGGTGTAAGTCGGCAATCACATACCATATCTCGTTTGCGGTGTCTGAAAATCTCCGCCTCTATGTTATTTCTTTAAAGGAGAACAAATTGACATCATTCCTTGAAGTTTTTGCAGAATTTTCCTCGCACAGAGAAGAAAAATCACGGCAGTTTTAGAGAATTGCCGTTGAGTAGTTTTCCGTTTAAAAAATAAAGTATGACAGGAAGTCTACGACGTCGCAAACCGAGTTATGTGATTGCCGGCTTACACCGTCGATATGTAGGACAGAGCTCACGTCGCAATAGATGTAGCTGCTCCTTTTGATATGAATGCATCCAAATGGCGCTTGTGATACTTCAGTCCGAAGGTGAAGATGAATGCACATGCGAAGTTATTACTATCATGTTTGGGGACTCACTCAGTCCATTATGAATGTCCGGATGAAATGATTGGAAACTAATCTATTGCCACTAAAAAAAAATAATTCCCGGTATCAACGTATTCAACGTCTCTAGAATATTGAAGAAACAGGTTAAAAATCAGGTTCGCGCGAGCAACTTCGTGTCGCGCGCTATCTGTGAAAGCGAGGCTTTATGAGGATCGGCAGGATCCCCTGAGATTGGCCATAACGCGCGATAAAATAAATGGCGGGATATGCGATACTTGACGCTTACCAAATGGACTTCGCACTGACCCTCCTCCCCTCCCGTTGTTTCGATACTAACCCGTCGCTCGGCTCATAAAAAGGCGCAACTCAATTTCCTATAGAGTCCTGAAAAGCACGCACTTTTACGAACGTCAGGGTTCATCTCGGACGGTAGTCACGACTTTTTGTTATATTGATGGATTTCCTACAAGGGGCGAGCCGGCGCGGCGACAGCAAGTAACAAGTTAGCCACTGTGATTTAAAAGGCGTCCCTGGGATTTCTGCGAACAATTGGGGCTGAGTCGTTTCTTACGATTCTGGATGATCGGAAAACTAGACAGGCGAGTGGAGGGTAGCTTCGACGGGAAACTTTCATGTAAGAGGGAATGAAAGGGCTTACAGGTACCGGTATGTTTGAGATCAACTTTGAGTTGGAGCACTGGAATAAGACCGCTAGAATCGACAGAGTAAGGTCTGAATTATTCGTATGTTGAAGGGGGCACTAGAAAACACGGGCTGGATTAAGAAAACTTCAGGTTTGTTTCGGTAGTAGGAAGTTTGAATTGGCTAATCCTGGTGAAATTTCGTTTAGTTCGTTTAGTGAAAGTTTGGTTATTATAGATCAAGGTTACGCTCTAATGATGCGAAATGAAATGTCATGAAATGGCATTTTTACTGAAAAATGAAATTTCATGAAATTGCGTTTTTGCTATAAAATGCAGTTTCATTTCCTTCGGTATTCAACGATTCTTGAGGGGCTGCGAAGCCGCAACACTTATCCGAGAATTCGACATGAATCTTCGGAATATGACTCAAGGTTTTTTTTTGTTTTTTTTTGTTTTTTTTTTGTTTTATCTTTTTTTTAAAAAAATTCAAATCAAGATTCTATCGTTTCCATGTGTTTCATGGCACATCGAGTTCACGCTAGAAGTTATACACAGTTTCAAGAAATTTTACAAAATTCCATTTTATAAGTTTAATGAAATGTTTCATCTCCACGATTACATAACCAATCAGAGTGAGGCGAATGGTGCGGCCAATATGGAACACAGCACCGATTCGATTCATATGCTCAATTTGTTTTCTTATATAGTACAATCCAATGCACTACCAAATTTATCCTTTTTAATTTTTTTAAAGGAGAACATATCAACATTATTCCTTGAAGTTTTCACAGAATTTTCTTCGCACAGATAAGAAAAATCAAGGATGTTTTAAAGAATTGACGTTGAGTATATAGTTCACCATAAAGGAGGAAGTCTGCAACGTCGCAAATGGAGATACGTGTGTGATCTCGTAGTCGTCTCACCATCGATATGCTCAATTGGACGTAGATCTATCAAACGGAACTATGTGCATTATGACGTGAGCCCTGATACTCATAAGAGTATATGCATAACAAGGCTCACGTTATAATGCACATAGTTCCGTTTGATAGAAATACATCCAATTTGCTTTCTTAGTGTACATCCTAATGCATTTCTTAGTATTTCCGTTTAAATCCCAAACTTATCCTGAAATTTTTCAAGATTTACTCCCATGTAATGACTAGGGAGGGAGCAGAGCCATATGGGAAGTGTTTAGGGCACCTGGGGACATCCTAGGGTCGGGGGGCGGGGCCCGCTGGAGGCGCATAAAAAGAGGGAGTGACCCCAAGTGACGCAGCCAGCACAGCGGGGGGCGCGGGTGCCTGCGAGAGACGCTCAGGATGGGTGAGATTGAGCGACTAGAACTTTAATTACTTTTAAATCGTCAAAATAAAAGTCGCGCCCGCTGCACACACTGCGGAAGACAGTTCGAACACGTCAGCGTGGTTTTTTAGTCCCAGTGATTCGAGGCGAAGCGAGTTACTGAGAATGGAAGACATCAAAGGCGCCTTCGTGGTGCTGGATATGCAATACGCACATCCGTTAAGCTAGAATAGTTGCATCATGGCGCCTAGATGAATAATCGTATGGGCCATACCTACTTTCAGACATCAACAGTGTAGGTCTGCAACCATGTTTCTCTGTTTGTGACGTTGACGACTTCCTGTCATACTTTATTTCTAGATGGAAAACTTCTTAACGGCAATT